CGTCGGGGGGAAGGAGGCGGCTGTTGCATGGAGGGGGAGGCCCCCGCCCTACGACCATGTGTAAGGGGCGGACAAATGGCCGCGGACCACGTGTCAGGGGCGGAAAAATGGCCGCGGACCACGTGTCAGGGGGGGAAAATGGCTGCGGACCACGTGCCATGGGCGGGAAAATGGCCACGGACCGGGTCACAGGAGAGAAAATGGCCGCGGATCCTGTTCGTAACCCGAGGCGGAGTTTGCGAACCAAAGCAAAATTTTGCGGCAGGAGCTGGTTGTCACCCGAAAAGTTCGTGAACAGAAGCGTTCGTAACCCGAGGTTCCACTGTACTTCCCTGTGACTCTGGGTGAAAGAAGGGGTGAAGGAGTGGAAAGAAATGGAAGAAGAGGTGATGTGTCCTAACGCTTAACACATTTTCTCAACTATACCCTTTCTACATAAACTACTATAACAAGACAAACTCCAGACCTCGTTCAGCTGGTCTTTTGCATGCTGACTTTTTCTTTTCATAACAGTTGGCTGCACTGAACTGACCTCCATGTGAAAGTTCAGCACATCTTTTCCACCTAAAGCCTGGGTCAAAATTCATCCTATCAAGAAATAGTAAAAAAGGACATCAAAAAAATGTTGAGGATGAATAAATTTATTCTTAAATCACTTATTCAAAACATCTCTCTTATTGATTCTTGGGTCTCTGAATTAACTAATTATCTTTCAGTACTGTGAACCCAGCCATTATGTACAAAACAGAAGTTGCATCTGAACCCCAAATGCCAAATTACATATTTGATCCACTAAGCACAGCACATAAAAATCAGTGAAAAATGAAACACAATCACAACTTCAAAATCTAACAAATAGGACAGGATATTAATTATTCATACTGCCACAATTTCCCCAAATTTACCTCTACTCTCTCCCAATCATTTGTTGGTTTGCTTTGAGTGTTTTGTAAAATCAAAAGTCATACTGAACATCTGCATCACTTTACTTTTGGGTACTTTATCTATGCTGAATTTTCTTCTGGCTGCTTATAGGCATGTGATACAAAGCTGCATCACAATAAGTGACAGCAATATCTAGTCAACCTTGGCTAATCTTGTAAAAAGTTAAGCAGGGTTTGGCCTAATTACTACTTGAATAGGAGACCACCAGGAAATTTATTTTTATTTATTTTATTTATATTTCAAATTTAGATACTGCCCATTTCACAAAAAAGTGACTCTGGGTGGTTCACAATAAAACAACAATAAATATTAATTAAAATACAATAAAAACAATATAAAAATACAGTAAAAATAGAATAAAGTCCCAGAGCAATAGATAGGAAAGTGGGGGAAAAAATCCATTCTGGAAGAAGTCAATGGAAAACCACTTCCATACTGTTGCCAAGAAAACAATGTTGATGTGTTCATTTAGTCATTAGGAATCAAGCCTGACTTGAGACTTTACATCAGTATATAGCCAGATTCAAGATAGTGTTTGAAGTGCCAATTATTATGAGTATCATCAGATATCTAAGGAACACGAGAACATCATTATACATACCATTTAAATGAATGCTGTGCACTATCTTCATGAGACCAAGCCCAGATTCCATCATGGTTCATTTCTTGCAATCCTACCCATATTGGCTGTATAATAAACATCCTCAACCATGTCTTCAGTTAAAATAAAAATGAAAAATAAAACAGTGAGGTAGCTTTAAATATGTTTAAAGTTACAGATATTTTGCAATTATTGGGAAGATGACCATTTTTGCTAGGGGCTAACATTTTTGGTTTCAATAAGAGAAAATACTTTGATACAAAAGCCGCTATTGATTATTTTAAGCAAGTAACTAGAATTTTCATTAGAGTTGTTGAAATGTATATAACTCTAGTATATATGTAAAATTTAGCAGAGACAGTTGATAGCTATATTTCCAATCCCTGCTACATGGAATGCCTTTTTAACAACAATACACAAGTCCTCTAAGGCTTGCATTAAAAATATCTAAAGCTCCATTTTTCCCCATGCCATATTCCACTAATTCCAATTCACTGCTTTTCTCCTGCTACTGTTTTGTTAGGTGATCATTATAAAAACCTTATAACTCGTCCTTGGCAGTTTGTCATTCAAAGAGTCAATTATGAAGTTATCAGTTAAGTGTGAGTTTTTGAGTTTTGAATCTTTTAGTTAGCTGTGGCCCAATTTCAACCGAGTTCTAAGGAAGAGTATACTTGCTTTCCACATGTTTTCACTTCAATGTCTTTACAGATGTTGTTGTAATACTTGTAATTCTTGTCCCTTCTATCAGCTCCCTGAAATTCCTTGTTAAGTTCTTTAGATGTGAGATTCTTCTCTTTCTTGGTTTTGGCTTCTCCTCTCTTCTTGGTAATTTCTACCATTTATCCCACCATTTCTTCTATTTGTTGGTCTTTGGCAGTCTTTTTTCATGTTCGTCCTTAACCATTATTTTTTATTCCATTCCACAGTTCTTCTGGTTTCTCATCAATGAGGTTTGGAAGACTTCAAAAATTCCTGATGTTTTTCTCAAAAATGGTGGTGTCAGAATCTTCGCAAGATTTTATAATAAATTGTTATATGGATAGTTTAGAAATTGCTTTTTACATGCTGCGGTTCTGCCATTGGAAAAGGGGTGGGGGGAGAAGGAATGAGAAACCGTTAAAAGCAGATGGCTCCTTATCACAGGCACTGGAAT